TATAGTATAAAAGTATAGCAACATATTTATTCATTTTCTTATTAATTGTTTAAAAAAGGCCTACACAACTTTTAATCAATAACACTCGTATGTTCTTCAAAGCCAGACCTTTTTTATATATTTTATAAAGCACATCAGATATGTATAAGATTCATAGTACATTATAATATTTGTCATTAAATATTATATGTACATTTATTTCCTTTTGATAAATTTTTAGAATGATGTCACATGAAAAATAAATGTTAATTTAAAAACAAATGTTTGCTAAGGAGTAACATTATTCTATTCACAGCCCAACATTCACGAATCTCTTTTAACTTTTGAATGTCGAGAATCACATAGTAGGACAATGCCTTGTGCTTACTTATAATAATACAGTTTAAAAGACATCCACAAGGCTTTTACATTATACGTTGATTAATATTTCTAAACTAAGAAAGTTTAATGGAAAGTTTAACGGGAAAAGTTTCCATGTTGATTTCTAAGAAAGGAAATCAACATGGAAAATGAATGCTAATGTTTGCTATGGTGTTATAATATTTTTATTCACCAACAGCATTCACGAATTTCCTTTTATGCTTTTCCATGTTTGTCATGAATCACATACTAGGTGCTATTCATAATAATACTGATTTAAATCCTCTACATGCCCTTCATTATACCTTGATGAATATTTCTAAACTACTCAATGATTTCCGAGAAAAGAAATCAACACGGAAAATGAATGCTAATTTTAAAACAAATGTTTGCTATGGTGTTATAATATTTTATTGGCAATGACATTCACGAATCCCTTTTTTTTATGTTTTTCAGTGTTTGTTACGAATCACATATCAGAACAATGCCGTGTCTTACTTATAACAATACAGGATTTAAAATCATCCACGTGGCCTTTATATTATTCCTTGATGAATGAACATTGTTGTGAAATTGTTGTTCTGTTTTAAGGCATGTATTGCGAGGCAGCGTGGGATTCGTTTCTGTGTTGGCCACCAGCTACACCTGGAGAGACTCTCATGCGACCTTGCCCTATGCTGGACGCTATGGGATCCATCATTGGAGAATCTTCCCATCCAGGTACGCAGTTTTTATCTTGTGTTTTCTGTTTAAATTACATTGTTAATGTTATCAAATACTTGTAACTTCGATCTTTTGAAAGGAACATTATTCTGTAATGTCCTATTTTATTTAAACACTAATATTTTAACTGTTCCGAAAAAAATAATTCTGTTAAAAAAATAGTAAAGATAGATTTGCTGATCTATACCAGAAGCTACAGTTAAACTGACACTGACTACTAGAGGAAGGATATGTAACTCGATTGTATAACTGGAATAATATGAAATTTAGCAGAGTGATTTTGCAACTAACATTTGAAAAAAAAAAAACTGTTTCAGAAGTATCATGCGATAATAGCCATATCGGGGCCAGAATATATCGATCCTCATTCGATCACTGAAGTAAAAACATCATCATGGACGATGTTTATTTGGGAGGGTGACTCACTCACCTGATATTACTGACATTTCAAATTTTAGCCCTACTGGTATCTCAGTGATGGCATGCGCATCTAGTCTGCAAGAGGACTCAGGTTGGAATCGACTGGCTGCGTTCATTGTAATAACTTATTTCAGAAACGAGACCCCGTACATAGGGCTAGGTAGTTAGCTAACTATGTAATTATCTAGTTATTATAAAGCTAACAGGTAGGTTAGAACTACCAGTTAGAAAGGCGTGGGTGGAATATCGGTCGGTCTTGTGAATGCCACGATTAACCCATTGACTGGAGAAAGGACCTTTAGGGATAATTGCGTCGCATTTGCCAGTCGTATGGAAAAACTCCGGAAATCACCAGTGACTATTGATGCGAGACGGTTTTACACACATTGTAGCAATCGCCCTCGTGTCTCTTCGTTTCATTCCTGGATATTGTTAAACATGAGCCGACATTATTAAAAGATCGTGTAAAGTTTTAATGTAATTTTTATTTTGGGGATATTTTCTTCCTAATGAACTTCTTTCTTCCGTTTTTCTTTTAAAAAAAATTTAGAATTTAATTTTTCCTCAATTATTATTTTTTAATATTGTACTTTAAAATTATCCAAGTTTCTTGTATTGTTACTTATTTTATGTCTGTTCTTATTGGAGATCAGTCCCTTTGAAATCGATGAGATCCATTAACTCAATTACATGGACCTAGATTTGGAATGATACTACTTAATTATACCATGTCGTATTGATCGGATCCTGTTAAAACTTTTTGTACGTTTTTGAAGGATAATTATAAGACATGACAAAACGAATTAAGCCTTTAACTATTTATGACAAATGAAGGGTTTTTATAATAATGTTTAGCTCAAAAGACAAGGGTTTAATGCCTGTCCAACAACCTCAGTAGTACGTATTAAAGGAAATTCTTTTGAGTGTATGACAGAATATGAAAAAAAAAAAAAAAACTATTCATTATGAGCTATTAGTGGCAATAGAATAGTAATCCCTGTTGTTGTTTACTAATCCCCGTGGTGCAGGAAAACCTAAAACTGGTCCAAAAGACCCCATTGCAGGCGATTGGTCCATGACTAAGGGTAATATTCATTTTAGCGAGAAACCACGAGGCCTAAGACTGACTAAACTTCAAGACAACGCTCTACAACGGTTTATTAAACTGGTTTAAAGAGGATTCACACCATTACAAACATCCATGACACCACCTTGACTCGAAACCGAAACCTGTTGCATCGAGCGCTATAGACTCGGCCATTCAAGCCCTATAGTAATCACTAAAGTTTATTATCTACAGCCAAAACGCTTACGAGCATTTTTTGAACGAAATTTTCTTTTTAAGGAAAGGAACGAAATTTCCTTTCCTTTTCAGTTTATCAACGAACATCGCCTACACGCCACACTGCTAGAGTGACTAAGTGTCTTCTAGAAGACTTTGACGGGAATTTATGCATCACTGCCCTTTTCTCTCTACCTTGCTTCAACAGATTGCTATGCTTTTAGAAGCTCACAGAAGGATTTTGCAAGATTAAGGTTGACGCCAAGAGGTTGAAATCAACTGATTATTTTGGATTGATTATCGTATCGGTTGATTATTTTTTCCAAAACAAAACTAAATAAGTTCTGTAAAAAAGGCATTGAAAAGTTGATGGGAAAAGATTCATTGAAGACTATTTTAGTGTTTAAATTATTTCAAAAAAAAAATACATATAATTTTCGTTACAAATGCAAATTTAAAAAGAAAAATTCTATATAAGATTTATGCATGGAATATCAGAGTTGCTTTGCATTTTAAATATGGTACACATTTTTTTTTTTTTAAATGTATTATGTCGATACTTTTGAACTAAAAGATGTTATTTAAAATTACTTTCACTTTATCAAGGAAATCGCCTATGACACATTGCAAGAGTGACTAAGTGTCTTCCAGAAGAATTTGACGGGGAATTTATGCATCACTGCCCCATTTCTCTCTACCTTGCCTCAATAGATTGCCATATTTTTAGAAGCTCATAGAAGGATTTTGCAAGATATAGACACATGCCAAAGAGGTTGAAATTAAGTAGATAACTTTTCCATAGCAAAACTAGATGAATTGTCTATAAAAGACATTGAAAAGCTAATGGGAAAAAAGTCATTGATGACTATGGTTCTTACGTATTAACGCTACCTTGGCTGCAGATTTGGCGGGTTTTATGTGTCGCCAATCTAACAGCTACAGATTTGCTGATTTTTGACGCCATTTTTTAGTGCTACGAAAATGCGTACTTGGGATTTGCCAGAAACAGAACAAGATGCAATTTTATTTTTTCAGGAGAGAAATATTTTACCAAAAAAACGAAAATGTCCCAATTCCCATGACATGAAACATTATTTTGGTAAACGTAAGTTTTGGAAATGTAATTTCAGTCAGTGTGCTTATCATGTGGGACTTAGAAAACACAACTGGTTTGAGGGAAGCAGAATTCCGTTTGACTACTTTGTGTTTAAATAAAGTGTTTTGAATTTTGAAAGCGTTTTGATTTTAAATGAAGTGTTTTATATATTTTATTATTTGGAACACAAATTATAAGTGTAGATTGGCGCCACTTAAAAACCGCCAAATCTGTAGCTGCGGTTGGCGTTCAAAAGATAACTGCGTGCGCGTGCGAACAACAAGATTGCTCTTTATTGGCGCAACTGTAGCCAAGGTAGCGTTAATATGTAAGTACCATGACTATTTTGGTAATTAAATTATTTCAATAAAAATGGATATAATTTTCGTTACAATTGCAAATTTAAAAAAAAATTATATACGATTTATGTATGGAATATCAGAGATGTATTGAATTTTAAATCTGGTACACAATTTTTCTTTTTATAAGCATATAGTTTCGATACTTTTGAACTGAAAGAAGTTATTTAAAATTGCTTTTGACTGATCTTTTGTATATGGAATAATGCAAAAATTTAAATATATAAAAGTCTTTTGTTAAAATTTCAAAAGGGTTTCTATCTAGCCATTCTATGCCAGCTACTTTCAGAATTCTTTACGTAGGAAAAACAATATGAAACATAGATTTTCTAAAAAATTTCTTCCTTTAAGAAAATAATAAAAAATTCCTTCTTATAACATGCATTTATTTCAACAAAGCACGTATTGGAGCGTGGTGAAATCGAGTATTTTGCTTGTGTGTTTCCTCCGAATAATTTTCTGGTCCCTTTAAAAAAAGTATTTATTTTTCCATAGCCTGGAGCACTCTGCATGTTTCTTTCACAAATATGTTGTTGTTTCTTATCCTCTGGCAAGCCCACGAGCGCCCATATGGACTATTTGAAGGGGAAGGAAGCAGCTTCTGTTGTGATGGAGCACCCGTAGGTAGAAGCCTGACTTTTGCTCCGTGACGCTCTTACAGTCAAGATTAAAAGGGATTCGAACCACTATCCATGCTTCGAACCCAAACCTGTACCGAGCGCCAGAGCGCTAGACACTCGGCCATTCAGGTCCCAAAGCGTGTTCCCAGGTCACCCACCCAAGTACTGACCGCGCCCAATGATGCTTAACTTCGGCTAACGAGAACTGGTATATTCAGCATACGGCCGTTGGCCTTTTCATTTAATATTAAAGAAGTCTCAACTATTTCATCACATATATTTCTTGCTGATTAAGTTATTGCTATGTATTATTTATCAAAGCATTTGCATTGTGTTCACTGGCATGATAATTTCCGGAGTGTAAATAATATTTTTATACTAATGAAATTTATTTGGTAGAATTCCTATAATACTACGTTATTAGAAATCTACAAAATCAATGCTCCATTATTTTGTAAAATTGTGGTAGCCTAAATATTAAAAATAACAATTATTATTAGTTTTATAATCAAGCCGTTGCCAACGGCCGTACCATGGTGATATACCGTTCTCGTTAGAACCGAAATGAAGCATCAAAGTACTTGGGTGAAAGATCTGCGTGCCGTTGGCAAATTTGGGACCTGAATGGCCGAGTGTCTAGCGCTCTGGCGCTCGGTGTCTGATTTCGGGTTCGAAAATGGATGTTTGTAGTGGTTCGGAATCCAAAAATAGGTCCCGGTCTTCTATGACTGTAAGAGTGTAGATAAAGTCAGGCTTCTACCTACGGGTGCTCCATCACAACAAGCTGCTTCCTTCCCCTTCAATCATGAGTCTATATGGGCTTGTGGGCTTGGTCAGCCAAGTGGGATAAAAACAACAACAACAAACAATAATTGAGGAAAAATTGTTCTGTTGATAGTTTAAGAAGTTAAAAGATTTATCCAAAATGGTATTATTTAAATACAAAAATGTGATATTAACTTTATAATTAGATAAATTATGTCTTTGTTTAATGTGATAAGATTATTATGATAGTTATTATCTAACCTGATACTTAGATATCATCTTGACTATATATATCTATTATTCTTTCAAGTAGATAGTTTGGATTGTGATTGCTACTTGATTGTATATATTTTGATTGCTATTTGATTAAATATTCTCAATTTGATTAGAAAAATGTATTTAATTATTAGACCATCATCAGTGATGATTATGATAAAGTTAGCCCACGTGGTGGACCAAGATCGTCTGCCTACTGGCAGATTTCAAGACAGGGGATGGTTTGCTTTTACGGGTTAGGATAATCAGCACTACGCCCAACGAATGCAGAGCATCACTATATAAATTATATGGTGCCTGATGGCCGAGTGACCAGCGCTCTGGCGCTCGGTGCCCAGGTTTCGTGTTCGAGTTCCCGGCTGTGTCATGGATGTTTGTAGTGGTTTGCAATCTACTTTAAACCGCAGGTTACCTAACTACCCTACCACGTAAAAAGAAAAAACGTCTCCCTACTCGTAATCTACCAGTAGGCAGAAGGTCTTGTTCCACAGTGTGGCAGTTGCGCCAATGACAATGATGATGTATACAATACATTTTATTTTATTTATTAACAAAAATAATTTTTATTTGATAAAATATATAGATACTTTGAAACTCATATTTATTTATTTTAATATAATTATTCACTCTTCAAATCAAAACTTTAATGAAATGGGATCACTACTTCGGTGTTTTAACGTAATCCACTTGAATGGCGTGGGAAGAAATTCCTTCCATAAGGACTTTCATGGCTACGGTCTAAGATTTGAGAACGGAGAAGACTATCATTTAATTTAAAGTATGGACAGAAATAGAAAGACACAGGTAACGAGAAACTTAGAATCGCTGAATCAGCAACTGCTGTTGCCATGTTCATGTGTGAGGATGCATTTTCTTGTTGGAAATGTCATTTACCTCTTCCGGAGAACTTCATAAAAGGTCCTGGAAGGATTACATATTAAAACAAGTTTCTCTTGTACGTGTTACAATTTTGTGTTTTACATTGCTGTATAGAGACATTAGTTGCTGTTATTGAAAATTGTCCATTCTCCCGTGTTTTCAATACATACATATTATCAGATTCAACATCTGTGTTTACCGCTTCATTTCATTTTCTTCTCGGTGATATTGAATTATTCCCAATTACCTTCTGTATATAAACGAGGAATTAATAACATCTAATTCCAACGAGAATTTTATCCTAAATCCACTTGTTAAGATGGTACGACATGAGATAATGTATCTTTAAGTTAAAACAATAGTGTCACGTGGTAGTAAGCAACAAATAACATGGAGGTCTTTACCCATCGTTTTGTACAGAAGTACACCCAGATAAGTGTCTGTAAAATAACGTGAAATCGCGATAGTAGTAGATTCACTGTCATTCAAGATGAACCAAGAGGATTTACTGCACTGTAATCAAATTTTATGTTGTTGTTTCTTATCCCACTTGGCTGGCCAAGCCCACGAGCCCATATGGACTCATGATTGAAGGCGAAGGAAGCAGCTTCTGTTGTGATGGAGCACCCGTAGGTAGAAGCCTGACTTTTGCTCCGTGACGCTCTTACAGTCATAGAAGACCGGGACCTACGGCAAAAAGTGGATTCGAACCACTACAAACAACCATGGCACCGCCGGGATTCGAACCCGAAACCTGTGGCACCGAGCGCCAGAGCGCTAGACACTCGGCCATTCAGGTCCCAAATTTGCGAACGCCGCGCACCCCAGTGTTCCCAGGTGGTCACCACCCAAGTACTGACCACGCGCCCAATGATGCTTAACTTCGGTGATCTAACGAGAACCGGTATATTCAGCATGGTACGGCCGTTGGCTATCAAATTTTATTACCATATAAATAATAATAATGTTATTTTATCACAGTACAAATAATAACATAAATAATTTGTATAAATAAATACAACTCGAGGCCCACTTTATTTAAAAAATATTAAATGGATAAATTTTAATAAAAGAAAAATTGTCTTTTCTATAATTTCAATATTAAAGAGCTTATCTAAAAACAGTTATGTATTGACATTCAGACCGCTTGATGTTAGTTTCTTGGGTTTTTCTCACAACGAGCGAATGTATGTCAATTACCCCTAAAAGTTCTCTCGGCAGGCAATGAATGTCTTTTCTTTGCTCATGGAGTATATACAAAAGTGGAATACGAATTCCACTGATGAACTAATCCCTCATATTTAATGAGATCAATAATTTGTAATGAAACTTTTAATATTATTTCTAATAAATTAGGATTTTAGAAGTTAAAACATTCACACCTAATGTTTTTCTTTAAAGAAGATAGAGAAAGAGGGAAAAAAAATTGGAAGAATTCTAATGAAATGTTTTCTCCGGGATATCAGTCCCAATGCAAATTGAAAGATTCATTCTTTTATGAAACAGAATTAGAACTTTTCATTTAACATAACATAGAGACCCAATAAAACGAACCAGTTTGCTCCTGTAATTCTTTTTGTAATCCTTTCTTTTTTAATCCTTTTTTTTGTAATCCTTTCTTTAATTTGCAATCAGCCATTAAAACATACAAGAAAAAAAGTTCTTTTATTGAATTTAGTAGTGCACCAACTCTTTAATTAATCTTTCAGTTCTTCAAGTCTTTCTTTTTCTTATGAATTTACAATGCAATCGTAAATTTTACAACAGACACGAGCAGATTCAATTAGGAAGAACGTGTTTTTCTAATCAACCCATGGGGTTGACTTTCAATTACAACATCACGGAGGTGGCTGTAAATTATTTGTTTATTCATTTGATTTGGATAAAAATGGGTGATTAGTTAGCTTTGTTTTTTACCCAAATACGTTTACTGAAAACAATTTCTAATTCAATTAATATTCAGAGCAAAAACTTCTAATTTAAAACATTGATTTTCGTTCAACGGTGCTTTTAAAGAATAAAAAACTGTATAGCATGAATAAATTAAAATAGTATAAGACATCAGAAAAAGAATAAAATTAAATGGTATACGTTAAATTAAACGTGAGTATCAGTGAGTATTAAGAAAATTAAATTAAAAATGTTTGAAAATTTGATTTGTATAACACAACATGTACACAGCATATTCAGCGGTATCTAGAGTGTAAGAAAGCCCAGGTTAGAACACGCTGGTGGCTTTCATTGCAGTCTTTGCTTTCAGAAACAGGGAGACTCAATGGCGATTATAAGAACACGTGTAAAGCATCCCATATTTGTTGTCATTGCCTGATGAGAAATATCTGGGTTTTCTGTCATAGTGCCCTAAAGTCAGCAAAGTTGTAGAACAGTTATTTCTAAGCGTCATAAAGATGCAGAACAGTTTTACCTAAAAGTCATAAAGTTGTAGAACAGTTATTCCTAAAATTTATAAAGATGCGAAACAGTTTTACCTAAAGTCATAAAGTTGTAGAACAGTTATTCTAAAATTTATAAAGTTGTAGAACAAGTTTTCCCTAAAAATCATAAAGTTGTAAAGACAGTTTTATTCCTAAACGTCATAAAGATGCAGAACCAGTTTTACCTAAAAGTCATAAAGTTGTAGAACGATTATCCCTAAAATTAATAAAGATGCAGAACAGTTTTCCTAAAAGTCATAAAGTTGTAGAACAGTTTCCCTGGAAATCATAAATTTGTAGAACAGTTATTCCTAAACGTCCTTAAAGATGCAGAACAGTTTTCCTAAAAGTCATAAAGTTGTAGAACAATTTTCCCTAAAATCATAAAGTTGTAGAACAATTTTCCTAAAATCATAAAGTTGTAGAACAATTTTCCCTGAAATCATATAAAGTTGTAGAACAATTTTCCCTAAAATCATAAAGTTGTAGAACAATTTTCCCCCTAAAATCTCTAAGATTGTAGAACAATTTTCCCCTAAAATCATAAAGTTGTAGAACAATTTTTCCCTAAAATCATAAAGTTGTAGGAACAATTTTTCCCAAAATCATTAAAAGTTTGTAGAACAATTTTCCTTAAAATCATTAAGTTGTAGAACAATTTTCCCTAAAAATCATTAAGTTGTAGAACAAATTATCCCTAAAATCATTAAGTTGTAAGACAATTATCCCTAAAAGTTATAAAATTATTAGGACAACTATCCCTAAAATTCATAAAATTATAGGACAATTATCTAAAAAATTCTTAAGTTGTAGGACAGTTATCGCTGAAAGTCAAAGTTGTAGGACATTTATCGCTAAGTCATA